CCTCGGCCTCCCAGAGAGCTAGGATTACAGGCGTGAGCCACCACACCCGGCCTGCAAATCAAGCTTCTTATTCTCGCATTTTTAAAAATAACATTCAAGCATGGAATTTCACCTTATTAAGGTTATTTTAGCTTTGCAGCTTTAATCACTCTCCCAAATTCAATAGCCAGGATAAGAGTGCTGATCCATTCACAGAACACACAGAGATATTCAGAATGTGAAATTAAGAGTACATCCATGAATAAGAAATACATACACAAGTCTAGGCATGGAAACATAAAATGTTAGAGCTACAAGGCTCTGTGACAGCATGTATCTCCCTAATCCCCTCACCCTACAGAGGAAGAACTTTAGCTAGTTAATACAAAGGTTAAATGATTTGCCCAAGACAGTGACAAAAACTCACCCAAATCAGTGGCAAAACCTACATGCCAGGTGTCCTACCTACTAGTTCAAGTGTTTTTTCCTTGGTACCAACCACTCTTCTCCTTTTGGTACAAAGAGCTCTTTATTAATGAAATATTTGACAAACAAAACCAAATCATTTGTGGATGAATATAAGAAAGCTGTACCCAGCCACTAAAAATCGGTTGAGAAGATGCTAGCTTATTTTGCATTATTTGTTTTACTGCTTCTGCTGAACATGTTGCATTTTTAACTGCTGAAGAGGAATGTAATAACTTATTAAAAGAAAATCTCTTGATTTGTAGACACTCTCAGAAAAGAAAGGATGGTAAAGTATTTCTTGGAAGAGGATAGAAAGTGCGTTTCCCTTCCTTCAACAGGGAACATCCTTTCCCCCACATCTCACAAAAACCCAACCAACCCCTCCCTTTCAAGGTCCAGCTCAACTGCCAGCTCCTCTCTGAGAACTTCCAAGCCCTTGGGCCAGAGCCTCTCCTTCCTCTGGATCCTGCATCATAACCTATGCATAAGTCTCTTTCTCCTAATAGAAAGCAATCTCCTTGAGAGCAGAAATCCTGTCTTACTCACCTGGCTATGGGGTTTGCAAAAGCCTCTGCACACACTCAATTATAACTAATGAATGGAAGCATTTGCTGCCAGAATCCCACTTACAGTAATTTTCCAGATCTCCCGCTTCCCTACCCCAACACCTGGAGCCACTCAAGAGTGATGGTGGAGTGGAAATCTTGGATCCCACTGTCAGGAGACCAGTCTCTGGAGAATGAAATAGTAGTGCCCATTACCTCGTCTGCCTAGTGGGTGTTTAATAGCCTTTAACACCGCGGAATGGCGAAATTAATCATTTATTATTTAGGTCACCGACAACATTCTAAACCCACGTTGTCTAATCTGTGTTAATCTGTTTTTTTTTTAAAAAAAATCTCAGAACATCATTTCCCGTACATTCAGCTGAAAACAATGGATAAAGTTAAATGCATGTAAAAATTGAACGATTTAAACGTCTTTAAAAGCTACTGGGAATATTACACCGAATAATCTCCCCTTGTCTGTTTGCTCGCTCAATGCAAGTTTGTTGAGGGTTTTTTTTGTTTGTTTCTGACAGAAACGTGATAGTCCCTAAATACAAGGGCTGACTTGGCAGAGTAAAATCGGCACATCAGGTCCTCTAACGCTTTCCTCCTTTTGATCTTTAAGCAAGAACCAGTACTCAAGCTTTTCTCTCAGGTCTTAGGTTTTCAGAGCAGAGGGATGAACTAAAACCCCTAAACCTTAACACCACAAAGTTGATCCTTCTGGGCTCCCAACAAACACAAAGGAAGAAAGCTCAAAAAGGAAAATAGTTACCAGAACCTATCGTCAAGACACAAACACAAGTGGCCCCGGGGACCCTGAGGAACCGAGGAGCGACAAAGCAAACCAGACCCCAAGTCGGACAGTGGACACCCGCGCGCCCCACGCCCTCGCCGGGGTCGTTCCGGAGCCTCACCCCGGCGTTGCTCCCTTCCATCTTCCATCGCCCGCCCCGGCCGCCGCGCCGAAACCGCCGCCGGACGCTCGGGGGCCGGGAGCCTCAGGGCGCGAGTGCGGGCGGCCGGCGCCGCGTGCTCTTTGTTGGGCTCCCGGGACGGCCGTGCGGCGGCGGCCGGCGCGCACCCTGGCGGAGGCTGCCCAGGCTGCGGAGCCCGCCGCGGCCGCCCTCCCGGCCCCCGGCAACGTCAAAGCGAAGGCGGCGGCGGCGGCGGCGGCTGGGGGTGG